AGTTTAACTTCCTCTGGACGGGGGACGGTGGTCAATAAGGGACAGTTAGTCAGTTAGTTACTGAGTTCAGAGTGACACTTTTAGCTTCCAAGGTACCAGACTATAGATAGTGTGCCGAAGGATGAAATTAGAAAGACGGCAGCTACTCATAGTTGCTGTTAACCCGCAGAACTAAAACTCTCCTTTGAAGGCTACCTATTTCCACAATTATTTTTAGGCCAATGATTCTACAATTGGTTGTAAGAAGCTTCGAGGAAGAAAACTCATCGGATGAGTGACATCTTCATCTGAGGAGTCGTCACTCGAGGAGCGAGTCAATACGCGATCACGTGATGCCGTTTCTGTGGTTGAAGGATGAGTAGTGTCATATCTCGTTCAAGTGATAACGAATCACACTGCTGATCAACCCTCTTGGTCAAAAGTTTCAACCATTGGCAGGAGAGTCGCGGACTCGAAACTCCCCAGCGGAGTTTCGGGAGATACGCACTCGTGATGTTGTTCAACATACAACTTTTTCCTGATAGGATGGCTTTACCGACAGGACGGAATCGATTGAAAATCACCAAGTCTCCTCATGCCACTATCCAATCAGTTTTTCATTATTCTGTTCAACAAGCACGATAGAAATGTTTTGCTCAACCCACCGTTTGATTGTAACCACAAGGATGAATCGATATTGTGGCTCACTTTCCTAAATTGTTTGATCGATAGTGCAGTAGAGATATGGGGGAGTGCGTGCTTAACGACTGTTGATGTGTGCAATCGTGCCAAAATGCTCATGCTCTTGTCTGGTTGGTTTGACGCGAGTAACTGTTTATTCATTTCCCGGTGTACACCGGTTGTTGGTTTGTTCGCTGAGCCGGACAATTTGATCGCAGACGTTGCAAACAAATTACGAACAAACCAGCAACCAAACTACGCTACCTGAGCTAGCGAAATTCTTCTCTACAGCACACTAAATTGATTGCCGGACGAGAAAACGATCATTGTCGCAAGTGTACATGTTACGAGCGACACGCTCGAAACTAGAATTTACAAACTTAAAGCAAAACCAACTATAATTCGGTTGGCTACTCATTTAGGCGAACCTGAGGTAGGAAGTTTGGAAACAAGTTTAAACACGAGAGACCAGTTGGCAAGAATTTAAACTCCTATTTATTTTTGCTCCCTGAAACACATAATTTTAAAAAATACTTGACTGAGCGAAGTGCTCTCATTTCCATACCACCTTGGTTTTGACAGGAGACTCACCTGGAACCCAGCCGAATCTCTCGTTTATGATGTTTTGTTTTCAAGTGGAACATAAGGTTAACGGAAACTCGTAGATTGCGCCTAGTTGATGAGCTCCAAGAAGAACGAAACCGGTCGTGGGCTGTCGATTAGTTTTCAGCAACCTTATGAGTAGTGTATAATGTCTGTAATATTCTTTCTAGCTTTCCTGAGGTAGAAACGGTAGTATTCTAAGCTCTTGGGAATATCCAAGCGGGAATGCTTCCCATTAATCCACCTCACCGTTTCAAATCCGTGGTTTTAACATAACCCCTGCCCCCACAACTGTACGTGAATCGGGCTGACATATAGGGTGTTACCTGTCCTCGTGCATTCTAAATTAAGATCACTACCCCGCCGCCCACAAACAGACCCTGCCTAAGACACATCCAGACTGAATTTCTCATGGGCCCTTCATTGAAATCCACGTAGGAGGTGGGGAAACCACGAGGAACCGGAAAAAGGACACAAAAACGGCTCTAAAATGACAAAACACCCTTCCTGAGAATGATCGATTAGCTACATGAGTTCTTCGAGTCAAGCTTATGGGCGAGTAAGTTCAAGGAATGCTGAATCCGGCTCTCCTCCTCAGGTATAGACGTAACACACTACTCATGAGGCTGCTGAAAACTTTCTGACAACCCACGACTGGGTTCGCCCTTCCATTCGGGGATCATCATCTGGAATTCAAGCGAGTCTCCCGTAAAAATCCCAACGGTTTGCAAAAATGAGTGCATCAGGCACATTTCGGTCCAAGTAATAAACGAGTGAGGGACTGCGTCTGCCCGATGAGCCTCAAGAAGGGCGAAACAGGTCGTTGCTTATCGAAGACTCTTCAGCCCCTTTAGGAGTAATGTGCTGCGACTTTACCATTTATTGCGATATCTCGAATATTGTGCCATCTTTAACATGAGGTGGCCTGGTGAAGTAAATTCAAATGATGAAATCCATCATTAACAAGCGATTCAGCTGGAATTCAGGCGGGTTCATCATGAAAACTCAGTTGGTATGCAAATGGGTATAGTTGTTGTATTTCTTAGGTGTCTTCAGTTGAATGCTATGCGACGGTGAAGGTGCCCGGCTCTCGCTTGTTCCCCCTCAATAACAGGTTCTCAATTCTGTCGTTTTTCACTCAACTCCATGATTGCGCGGCAACCGGGATTCAGCAGCGATAGGTTGCTGTCAATGACCTTGATGAAAGTAATGATGACGACCGTTCAGTGGTATTCTGACCACAGAGCTTTCCCCAAATACTTGGACGTCCAATTAATAATTTGTTCGTATCCAGGGTGTTTGGTGCATTGACGTTTGTGTATGGGCTAGTGGCTTACAATAAGGGAGGCACGATTGTTTTTTTGCGCCAGGAACCACGTGGTTTTCGGTGGGATTAGGACAGAATCGTTGCAACTAACAAGGCACCACGCATCGTTTGCAATGAATGACGCAAATCGGTCATCAACGCTTTCTCCATCTTTGTGCGCAGTTTTGTTCGTCCTTTGATATAAACAAAGCATAATCTGCCTCTCCGCAGAAAACAACTCGACAGATAAGAGCGTATGGGGGAAAGCTTCAAACTGATCAGGAAGTCACTGCTTCACGAAAGAAAACATTTCCATAAAGGAGACTACTCACAAGGTTGCTGAAAACTCTTCGGCAGCCCATGACCGCCCTTCTTGGGGTTCATCAGGTAGGCACAGTCCCCGAGTTTCCGTCAACCTCATGTTCTACTTGAACCCAAATTGGACTGTTTTCGAGAAATACACTCATTTGCAAATCAATTTGGTTTTCACGAGACAAATTGGACTGTTTTCGAGAAATTCATTCATTTGCAAATCAATTTGGTTTTCACGAGAGACTTAACTGGATCTCTCGTATCTGATTTTCTTCAACATAAGGTAAGGCCGGTTGGGTTGGTTTTGAGGGTGAGGGAGATTGGCGGTTGAACGGGGAAACGGGTTTATTCACAAGATGCCCAATTTGTCTGATACTGTTACGGTCACTAAACGTGTCTATTTGCACCAGAAGGATAAATAACCGATCCACTCTTCTCAAAACTAGCAAAGAGCCTGAGCGGACTCCACACAGATGAAGTTAATCAAGTCCTCTGTTTTCTCCACCAGTATGTGTAAGATTTGCCTTTAACAGGCTGTTGATTCAAACGTGCAGTTCTATCACCACAAGTGTATGGTGACCAAGCTCAAGATAACTTGGTGCTAGAGGAGCGAACTCAGTGACTGGAAGGTTCATGGTTCGAAACCGTATTGGCTGCTTCGGTGTGTCAGAGAGTTTGCGCGTGTGCGTGTTCGTTCGTCGTTCTACCATCGCTCTGGCGCGTGACTTGAGCGGCTGATTGGGTGCGTGTCCGATTGATCTGCCTATGTGAGCGCTGAGGGTTAACTGGATGTATGACTCAGTTGCTTGCTTACCCGCCACGAAAGCAGACCAGTTGGCCGTGTGTACACAATACACCCGTGCCATTACTTACGTGTTTTCCTGACTTACCATGAACTACTATAGAAACCAACCTCGACTGTTCCCGTCTGGGCTTGGAACGCCTAGAAGTATCTCAGCCCTCACAGTTCCTTTAGGCAGCAACACAGTGATGCATTGAAACGGTGGCTTAGCTGAACAATCATTATATGGTATTATCGCAAGTGTTCGGAGCAGCACTGGACGAAAGCGGCCAATCTGCACAATCGTGAAATCTTACATCTTTTGCTTTGTTTTTCTATATAGTCAAGACATGAAACACCCCTAGATGTGACCGTGTTCCCTTAGGCCAAACAATGACCAGGGACAGAGAATCAACCACTGGTGTTGAAAAAATTAAGTGCGGAATCGGGACCACACTTAGGTGGAGATGGCGACTGAGTTTGCTCACTGGTCCTTTCTAGCACATGGACACAAAGTGGTGAGTCGAGATAAGCGGCAATCACATCGGCAGTTCTAAGCCCAACATTCCGTCAGAGATTGTAGGAGCCAGTCAACACATGGCCACGTGAATCACGTGATTGAAGGGTGAGCAATGCTATATCCAATCTAAGTGCAATTCACTCACATGGCTGATCAGCCAGTCGTGGATTAACGGGAGGTCGCGGGTTCGAATCTCCCTGGAATTTCGTGAGAGATGCGCAATGCTGGTGATACTCAAACAGCTGTACACTACTTGTCGGCTTTATAGTATCGATTGGCTTCATTTACAGGAAGAAATATCCATTAAGATTGTGGGTAAATCTTTAAGGTTATGTGCAATATGGATTCCATCCCTCGATTATCGATAAAGCCGTGGGCTGTGTGTTACGACCGTTTCGAATTCTTGAGCAACGAGCACCAAAGTTAGCAACCAAACTGGCAAAACTCCGAACGAATGGCTACGCAAATGCGCTGTACTATAAAGATGAAAGTAGTTACACTGAATACAAAATTACAAACCTCAACAGTTTTCGACAAACGGTGAGGTACTCCAAATGGCAAGCAAAGCCGATATGGATATGACCGAAACCGCGTCTCAAACTCATGAATTAAAACAACATATAGCTGCCCAAGGATTTGGTACAAAAATAGTATAACCAGAGCGGTAAAAACGATTGGCGCGGTAAGGAAAACGGAGAATATAGATGTCTTGTAAAACTGAAATAGGGTTCAATTCCACCAGTCCAAAAAGGGGCGGTCCATTTGAATTGTTAACCGGGAAGGCAGTTATTCAAGAGTGGAGGCAATTTTAAATATATATGAAGTTGCAACACTGTGCACAGATTCAGCTATCCACTTCGTATTTTACGGTCTCGGAACTTAGGGATAAATCTGGATTTGCGAGAAGTGTGTGTGTGCGCGCAATATTCTCAACAAATCGGAACCAGTGACTGAGTAAAATTCATTAATAATAGAAGTTGACTTTTTCGCTGAGCTGGGCAATTTGATTGCAAACGTTTCATCGAGGTGACATCATCGATGCGTTGTCGGGGAGCGTAGTGGTGCGTAGCGATGGGTTAGCGGTTTTGGAGCTATCACAGCGAACAAGCCAGTTACCATCTGCGCTACCTGAGCTACCAACATTTACCCCTATAATTAGTAATGTTCCCGTTTTGACGTTCGAATGAATATAATCATGTTCACATGTAACGGTGGATACTACTGATGAGGCGTGCGAGTAGTGTTTTCTCACAAATCCGCTTCGCGTCTCTTGAAAAGTGAGAGTTATTACGAAATTTGTGGAGCCGCTTTGTAGCATTTACTTGCATTTGAGTAACAGTCAATGACTGTCCAAGAAAGTTCAGGAAAACGAGTTCAAGGAGAAGATGGATATTCAGTTTTGTAAACAAGACGCATATGATAGTATTGCTCCCCTGTCCAATAGTCTGTAACTGTTCTGGTTGGCGTTCACTAATCATCATCTCCGCAGCGAAGGCCTTCCTTTCACCAACATCTCCTCCTATAATTAGTAGTTTTGCCGTTTTAACGTTCGAAAGGGACATAATCATGTACACATGTTGCGATGGGCCTGTCTAGTAATGAATGATAAAGAGTAGTGGTAATAATCATTCAGCTGTATCACCCTTTTGGCCCGTAACTGCCGTGCCACCCGAAGGAAGCACGAGGGCCGATATACTGCCAGTTTACCCGGGCACAATCACAAGCAGCTGAGATACAGAGGGTGGGTTTGAACCATGGAGCGTAAATTAGCAAGATTGACGACCGTTTACCTGGAGTTAGTCAATTTGGTTGACCAGGCGACCAGATTTGGCTTTTTATTGCCCTGTGTAAGTATAGAAAAGCCTCCATCGGTGCCGGAAGCGAAATTGGAAATGCTTTTGTTCGTGCAAAAAGGTCAGTGTGGATATTTGTGGAAGATAGTTAATATGTAAACTTAACAGCCACTCTTGACAGTAGTATAAAAGATGAAAACATCGTCCAGTTGCAGAACTCTTCTGACTTCTGGTTGCCGCAAAATGGGAAAACGAGGGCTGTCTAGAGAAGAACATCTGAGATGCCTGAGACCGGGTTCGAACCACGGACATTCCGATCAGTAACAACAAAGTTATATAAAGGCAATGAGAGGAGGAACCTCGAGCGGACGAGTTGCTGTCGGAATCCAAAAGAAAGATCTTTACTGCTTTTATTACAATGTCTAAACAGAAACGTCAAAAGTTTTGTTTATCACGGCTTTTAGACTTCCTCCAACGCATTGATTTTCTGGGGCAACTGGAAATGCGCTGATAACTATAGGTGGAATATATGTTTTTTATATGTTTGTATGCACAAGTGTTCGTGTTAACCTGTAGCGCCCCGATTCGTCGCGCTTGGCTGCAACACAAGGATGAACTCATGGAACAACTGGTTCAGTAAAACGGAAGATATCAGTTCATCGACCTAGAGACGTGTGTGCATGTGTGTGTGTGTGCAAACGTCCCATAGTCACGTACTCACGTTTTCTATTGGCTATCACGACAAGTAACCTTGAGTGTGTTTTATGGCAAGAGCAGCAATGAATACCGTAATTCACGGTAATTCTCACGGTTACTTCACATGGCTTCGTTGTTGCGTGCTTTGCATGCATTACGTCAACCAGTCAAAGCCCGTTGACGTAGATACACACGTTTGTTTCTCAGAATTTGCGTAATTCCAACGAATGCTGGAATTCAGTTTGACGTTCTCAAGTTATGTTGGGGTTTTGAGTAGTGTAGATCATCTGACGCCGGTACCATCCTTGCCATTATGTTTAAAATGACAGGTCCGACACATTGACGTACGATATCCTGCTCACCGCTACCTGAGTAATCCTGGTTGAAGAAAGGATAAACAATGTTGGTGAGATAAAAGGCTCAACATTTCCGTTTACAAACCCGGTGTAGATTGAAGAAAGTTAAATTCATTGGGTGTTTCTGTGAACTATAAGATGACAGCACACGTCACACTCTTCAGAAGGGAAAACCGAAACAGGGACGCTTAAATATGAATAAGTAGTATTCGGTCTGTTAAACATTTCTAATTAGAGACGAGAGGCACAGACTTGAAGGTCAGTGGTTCGAACCCAATTTCTACATCTGGACTGCTCCTGTCTAGGCTTGGGCAACCTGACAGTATCTTGGTCTTCGTGCTTCCTTCGGGTGGCATAGTAGCTAGACTTTGGGAAAGGTGTTACGGCTGAACGATTCTCATATTTTTTGTTATATCCCCGGTAAGCCGAAACTCTGCTCTTCCCCTGAGAAAACATTTTAAGTCAAGCATATCACTTGTTAGGCTGAGCGAAGTTCCTACCAGGCAGCAGAACAAGCTTACCACTGGGATGAATCAATCAGACTGGCATCGACAGTAATTGTGGCATTCCCCCAACCCCAGAAACTACGACGTGGTTAGACATTCTCACGAGGTGATTTCCACACCTATCAAACTGCTATTAGTCGCTTTGAGAAACATTTGTCATTGGTTGATGGAACGCATCGAAAGCGGGAAATCACTCGGATCTTCCCTGACGTAAGCACTACTCATAAGGTTGCTGAAAGTTCTCCCACCACTGGCGCGATCTCCAAATTTCCATCAGCTTGAAATTGTACGCAGTCGTCAGAATACATTCACTTGAAAGGTAGATTCGTGTTCACAAGGGACTCCGATGAACCTCTCGTCTATGAATATGCTGTACGAAGACAGCACATGATTCAGCTGACACGACATTCAGGATTTCAAAGAATAATTTCTTAGAATGTTGTTGAAGAACTACTTGAAGGAATGAGTAATTCACCTGAATCCGTCGTTATACCAACATAGTTTACAAAAACTTGTATTTAGTCAAGCCAGCTTCTCGTTTCCAAAAAAAACATCTCCGTACAAAGACCGTCTGAGGTCCCCGTTGGAATGTTAATCCAGACATCAAAGTGCGTTTTTCGAATAGCGATAGCTAGCTAGCGATTTCGTTTTCTAAAGATTGCTAAAGTCAAATTTGAAGTTGATAAGCAAAGCTCCAAACGTCATCCATTCCAGACCGCAATTCGTAGGGGTAGAACAGTAGCGAATTGTGTAGACTCGACGGTTAAAAAAAGCCTCATACAAAATCACGTGCTTTGGAAAACGGCCACAGCGCTGTTTTTATAACAAGAGTCTGTGAAATGAAAACTCAGGAAACGTGCTCGATTCCATCCATTCGATCGATAACCCAATCGTGTTGACCCACCAGGTGCGCATGTAATTGGCTCGCCGAATTACTGCTGTATTTTGGTTCTGTTTTTTTGTAGCCGCACAGGTGCCTGATTAATTCGCCGATGTTGCGCGTTTTTACGAACTCTGTACTCTCGTTGGTTATTTGGCATGATCTACCAGCGATCTCAACGAGTGAGACTGAAATCTGACCAATAAACTGACTTATCAAGTCTTGCGACTTATCCGCACTTTGGATGAGCCCATTCCGGCCGTCTTCAAAACCTCATACGAAATTTTACCAGTTACTGGGTATTTCGAGACATTATTCAATCCGAAAGTAGTCGGATGTCACCTTCACCTTAGGGTTAAGTTCGTCTGACTCTTGATATTATCCGGGACAGTTCGTATTGACCAAAAAGTTACTGAGGTCGGTCGTTATTTCGTGTGGTGAATGGTGATCATCAACTAACTGATGGGGTTTATTCTGGGCGGACGGTGACACTTTTCTTGACAAGCAAGTAAATATTACTTCCCAAATCGGAGCACAAGTGCCGTGTGACTGGCTTGGATATAGGCGGGTTTAGAACGCGTATCTTTGGCAAATCGACTAGGCTTAAGGGCCTACTTTCTGTGGACTTTTGTGGTATGTAGTGTATTGAAACCTAAGATCAGTCGTTTTCTCACTTGGAACGTCCGTTGGTCTCTTTTGATGTGAGTTTTTACAGGCTACACGGTACATGTTCGAACTCAACTTCCATCCGAATAAGAGACTAGCCGGTCGGTTGTTCTCCGTAGAGAACAAGTTGAAGCCACCGCGGTAAGAGGTCCACCTACTCGCTTCGGTTGTTTCGTTTTCTGTGGGCAAGCTTCTAAACCACCGATGATTAAAGAAACCGACGAGACGTCCTCATTCTGTGCTAGGCCACAGACACCGTCCTAGATGGTTGACATTTCTTGACTCAGCTTGTCCATAAAAGCACGGTTGACGCAAACCAGTTCTGGCGATTGTATTGCAGACAGCATGTCGTCAGCTGACTGTCGACCAAACAGGGCAATTACGATGGCAACAAACCGGTCGCGCGTACCTGGAAAGGGCTTAAATCAAGACAGACTGCACGAGTAATACGATACTGTCTGTGTACAGAAAATGATGCATTTTGACGGGGTCTCCAAGCTTGTCATGAGTGTGTTGGATTCGTTCCCGTCGCATCTTAACTCAGTCCAGGTCAAGCCGCTTCGACACATTAAAAACTGACTGTTCATGGAACTCGGAAAATATTCGTTGCTTGATATTGTTTTTGATAGTTAAGCCAGACGAACTAGGGTAAGGTAATTTCGTCTAATGAACTGTCGGATAAAGGCCGCCTCTTATCAAGGGATAGGTTTGTCAGCCACATAGAATTGCCAGTGAACGTCTGGTTAGGATTAGACATAGCTATCGGACACGAGTGATAATCCCTTTCTGGAGCACTGTGGTATTTAGTTGCTCCTGAATAAAGAGAGTGTTTCTCACTGCATTTATGGTCTCCAGTCTCACTGAACGAGACAAAAGACCGACTTGGGGTGGACAGTGAGCATGGGAATTCTGTGACACGAAAAACGGACCATAAGACGAAAATCTGCGATTAAAAATGAGCAGTTCTGTGATATCTAGCCCGCAATCTGTGAATCACTTATGGGTTATGACGGGAGACTCACCTGAAACCCAACTGAATCTCCCGTTTATGATGTTCTTTCTGGCAACCTTATGAGTGGCTTTCCAGGGCTTAGTTCTAAATGACTTTACTTAGCGGGTAGCAATATACAACAAAGTACACGGCACACCAAACATCTACGCCCCGACTCGCTAATCTGTGGATGACAGTGAATAGTAGATTTAATGTGCCCATATTTTGTTCTTTCATGCTTACGACAGCGTCAACTAAGGTGGTGGAGGAAGCATGTGGTTTCCAGTGTTCACCTCAGCAGTATCCGGGTGATAGTAAATTGTCTGCGCGGTACTCTCTGAAATCTCCGTTAAGGAATGGTTCGTTCTGTTTTATCTCCGTTAGAAGCCTAGGTTGCGTCATCACCAGGGACCCGTGCTTTTTGAGTAGGGTGAAACTTTGCGATCTTTCGGGGAGAATAGAATTGGGGAAAAACGTCGCAGAAAACAAAGTTTTGCGGGCAATTAGACATCGGGTTGAATTTTTGGGGAGGCTTGAGGTGTTGGCCAAGTGCATCTTGTTTGTAGGGTAAGAATGACCAACAATACGAGTACCTCCATCCCCACTAAGACTCACCAGGTGTGCACAGATGGATTTCTATGTCAGTATTGCCAGCCTACTGATCGCTAGGTCACGTGCATATCGATCGTTTTGAATTCACATAATCACCGGACCACTGGTGACTAGTCATCTATTTTATCCAGTAACCTTGGACCGGTGAAGATGGAAGCTCTCTTTTTCGAATTTATGACCAATCGGTGGCATCCTTACTTCTAAGGAAATGACCTGTTAATTACCTGGTCAGCCAATAGGATTGGTGATGATTCTGAAGAGGCATTATGATTTTTCATTGGCACTCAGCTAATCAAGTGAATAGGTTAGCATCCGGTTGAATTACATAAGGTCATTCACTTGAGACGCAAAGAACCCAGTTTATTACTTGCCTCACTTGAGAAGGACTACCAAAGATCACTGATAATTTCCGTGATAACCACTCCGAAAGGTGCAATCTGACTGTTAATTTAGACGAAACACTTGTGTACATTTTGCTTGTTTTGTGATACCCCTTTAATCGTTACCAAAGCGCTTTCTCGTCTCGAGTTGATCGGAGCAAACTTTGACGTGACATTCCCGCGTTCGTTTCGTTTGTTCCCTTCAAACATTTTTAGCAACATTCAGGCGATGCGCATAATTCAGGAGCCAAGTAAGCTACATAGCGTTCACGATGGTTTATTCGGGTTGAAGTCATCAAGGAAGCCTCTGTCAGTTGCCCAAGTTCAGAAGCAACCACGAGTGACCATATTCATCCGGTAGTTTATTCCCTCTATCATCGTCAGAGAATAACACCTATGTAAGTAGCTCAGGTGGAGATTTTTCTCACAAGATGACAGGAACTTCCACCTGACAAGTCGTTGGTCGAGGAGCCAGTGAAGAGTTGATTCGCATCCTGTGGTTGAAGGATGAGTGACGGTGTATTTTATCATCCAATTGCGAGTTAATTACATTGATGACCAATCGCCCGGGGCCAAATGGTTAAGTGTTTAAAATAGTTTGCTTGGAGTCGCTGATTCGTGAGCTGCGCACAGCTCATGATTCCCAATAGAAACGAAACCGCTGTAGAGCGCTTCTGGTTTTTTTCAACATAGAGCCATGATCATCACAGCTGACGTCATGAAACTTTCTCGATCACGAAATTCGATACCGTGTTGTCAAAAGAACGACTAGTGTGAGCTCCGAGTCTGCCTTGGTCATGTGACGCAAATCGACCGTATCAATCAATGAATGGCTAACTAGACAACCTCAGGGCATCCAATTATATTCTAGGTGGGTTACACTGACAACCAATCATCTGAGTTTCCACTTTTTCTAACTTGGTAGCTGATTATTTTATCAGTAACCTCTATTTTAACCGACAGATTTGTACTGAGCTGAAAATGAGACCGCGAAAACATTATTGTTCGTCACCGCTTTCTGGTTGATACTTTTTTCTAGTCTGATAAACCGTGCTGGATTTTTTGTCACGAAGAAGAAGGATAGAGTAAGGCTCGGTAACGGCCTCTATTCTGTTCGATTGATGGTTTGCCCTCAGGGCGTATTCGCCCGCAAGCTGGCGGTAAGGTACTTCAGAATAACTTACATCTTTTATATTTCGATGAGATCTGCTGGCTTGGGAAACCGTGTACTTCCCGGGACCTCGCTGTAAATCTCGGTCTTTGAATGCTACTGGTGATAGCTGTACGATGGACTTAAGGATCAACTTTTGTGTATCACGCGTGTGTCAAGCAGCAGTGAGGATTCCATCATATACAGCTCTGTCTTTTGACTCTGCGTAAGGTTTCGCGGCACTGTCAGACCCAAGGTATGACTATTGTTTACTGGGTACCATAACAGCTTTTATGCCCATCTCCAGCCACTTGCCAGTTCCTAGGCCACTGCAAAAACCATTTGTACAGGCGCTAGCTCTCATGTGGCGGACTATTCACTTGACAGGATCAGGCGGCCCCCGTGTTAGATGTTAACCACCCACGGATTGAACTATGGTCACTGCTTTTCATTCTGAATGACACAAGCCTAACCTTATCGATTTTGTCGTTCCTGAGTGTGAGGAACAGATGTCAGAATAGTACCCTTGAGTCACTCTGGGTGTAGTTCTGAAAACATGGGGCTTAAATCTACTGACATCCACTGAAACTGTAGTTCACACCAAATGTCCTCTCCTACGCAGATGGCCAGTCACAACATTGGGATAGTTCTGTGGTGCAGTTGAGTTTGCATTTTAGCCCACCCGAGTCTTACTGGTCCGAACCCAAACTTACTTCCGAAAATGAGAGAAAAATTCTCCCTCCGACTAAGGACAACTCAAATCATACATTGGTATACATTTGTTCTTCATTGTCATCAATGTCGTCTGCTAATCTAGCACGGTCAACCCCCCAGGTAGACCCTTCACTCATTGTCTGCGAGCGGCAATGGAAATACTGCTTTCGCCTTAGATGGAGAAGCTTAGGCCTCTACTTTTCAGGTCGGTGGAAAGGTCAACTATGTGTGTAAAGTGTATGCGAACTCAACTACTCAACTACACACCAATGTGTCTTTTCCTTGCGGATGACTCAGCTGCTCCCCAGCTGAATCTCTCGTTTACGATGTTTTCTTCAAACGGGTATGCTTTACAAAGCGCGCCTCATGATTCAGTTTGTACGATATACGAGATATCGCAGTATAGAGACTTGAACGGAACCACTCGAGGTTGCTGTCGAACATGGGTCGTAATTCAAAAGTACAATCCGAAATGTCAGGGAAACTTCCGGTGAATTTAGCCATCAGAGACTGGATAGATGTTTATATCCCATAAACCTAGTTGCACGTGCGTTAAAATACCGAGCGATGTATCCACCATACTCTGTGTACGGCTGTCGTCTGCCTCGCAGTCACCAGGACAGACAACGCAAGCCGTTTCTGTGGGGACGTCAGTCATTGGTTGAAGCGCTACACCTACCTACCTGCTAAACCAGAGAGAGAGAGGACGAAAAAAGGGACCATCGTCGAGACACTTAAGCAAAGTTGACGGTGACGTCAACCCAGGCTTGACGCGAAGTGAACGACAAGGACACTCGAGGTTTTTAGTGACGTCACGCCATATGGGCTGTCACTTCGCGGCCGCGAAGGGTGACGCATTAATGGTTATCTAAACCAGCATCGCTGATTCCAGTACCGCTCACAAAGCTTGTGAGAACTCCATTCTTCAGACTCATCAAATGGGACTTTTATCTTGCTAATATATATTTATCGTTCCTCTGCCCGGACTTGGGACCAATTAAGCTGAGCTGCTTCCGGATTTCCAGGGGCTTGGGTTCGAACCACAGACGGTCACTAAGTTCGTGCCCTAACCACAATGAAATATAGAGATTCAAAGGGACTTCATCTTGGTCTTCTGCCAGCCTTTGGTGATCGCTGCGACAGTTGCACCACAAACAACAACATAGGTGGCGTGTCGGTGGCTTTCCAAATCAACTGATCTGTCGGACCGAAGTAGACGCAGTGCACCAAATCTGGCCTGGCAGAACAGAACACTCGCCAACTTACTGACCCGTCACAACAAGAGATCTTACCGTGATGTGACGGTTAGCGTACCTCGGCGACCAATTGAGCTATACTGGGGGTTGTCCCCGCGACACTTTCATACCAGGTTGGTCAATGGTTAGAGGTCTGACAAACCCAGTCTGCAGGTTGGCGGTTGGAACATGTGCGGCGACTTGCTCGCTAAAAATGGTGATGTGCTTGCATTTCCAGCCAAACACCGCTGTTTTGCGGTCAGGCTTTTGAGCCAAAGGCTTTGGTTGAGGACCCTAATCGTCATCCTGTCTAGGTGTGGGCGCCCTGGCAGTATGCAGACCCGCGTACAACCATGAATTGCACATACAGTAAGGCAGCGAAACATCAGTATTGAACACTGATATCATGCTATGCATGATGATGATGATGATGCTGATGATGATGATAAGGCAGCTTGCTGACAGGAAGGTCCTTGGTTCGAATCCAACCCCTGCCTCTCGGATGTCCCCGTCTAGGTTTGGACAACCTGGCAGTGTGGTGGCGCCCGTGCTTCCTTCGGCTAACATGGTGACCAGACAGACTATTATTATCATTAGTAAAAACGTACAACCGAATCAAGAAAAGTGACTTCAGTATTATATTTGTAAAATATCTTAACAAGATGACCAGGAGAATTGAATTCACCAAGCGAAAAATTGATGGTTTTCACAACTTCGGTTTGCACTTTCGTTTGGGAAAACTTTTTATACATGGAGTTCTATAGTGAAGGAAGGTAAATCCGGCTCAAACTGAATTCTGTTCACATATATTTGCCGTCAATCTTTTCAGTACAAACCTCTTACCCTATTGAACAATAATCCGCGTTCATGCGACACACTCACTCATTTATGAAAATTGTACCCATACGCCCTTGCTTGCAGATTTCCGCACGAGCGATCCTTGCGGAGCGGTGAATTGAAGAAAGACGGTGGTTGTCATTTCAATAGCGGTCGAAATCCGTGATTTCGTCCACCCGGTAGGTGAAATTACAACGTACTCTCGTCAAAAACAAAGACGTGTTTTGTTCACTTCAGTTCGTCTGCACTGGTAGTCAGCTGGGTTTGACTCGATATCCAGCGTCCTGAATTCACACGTTCTTTGTGCGTGTCCCATGCCGTCCAACTGGTCGGTCATTCGATTGCTGGTGAACTCTCGTCTATTGGGCCGCAGTTCTTTGTTTCACCGATGCTCATTCGGCCGGACAAAGCAGTTTTTGTTCCAATGCCATCAACCGAGATTTTGGACCCGAGTGTGGTGTATTTTTGTTGATGTTGTACTATTCATACACATACGTATATGTATACCAATAGGTCACTGAGGAAGTATCACTTAGACAGGATATGGTTGTAAAATTAGACAACAGTTTCCGAGAAATACACCCACTTGCAAATCAAGTTGGCTTTCACGAGAGACCCAACTAAATCTCTCGTTTGTGATATTCTACATGAAAATGCCTCATGAAAATATTCCGTGATATCTGGAATATCATGCCAACTGAATCATGAGGCGGCCTGTGTGCAGCACATTCAGTTGTAGAATATCATCAACGAGAGATTCAGTTGAGTCTCCCGTAAAAACTAAGTGTAACTAAGTGCAACTAAGTGTATTTGTCGAAGTCAATCCAATTTGGATTCAAGTAGAACATGAGGTTGACGGAAACTCGGGGAGTGCGCCTACCTGATGAACCCCAAGAAGGGCGAAACCGGTCGTGGGCTGTCGAAGAATTTTCAGAAAACTTGTGAGTAGTTTTCTTCATGAAGATAGTCAGCATTTATTTATAAAAGGCCAGTGATTATCTGAGTGAAATGTTTTTTACTTTTGACGGTGAATAATTGTGGGAAATCACTAAACTACAGACTTGCTTCATACATATTCTCTCTTGAGGTTTGGAAACGGTCCCAGTTGAGTAGTTCCCCGGCTGATGTCTGAAGTAACGTGATAACGTCCCATGCCCGCCAACGAATGTTGCACCTCGGTTATGCTTTTTTCAGCTGATTTAATGGCATTATCTTTAGAATGGTACGCCTTCACAACAGTTCCACGGGCTTCAAAAATCAGACTTGATTGGAATAAGCGCATCAGTCTAACGCTTGTGATGTGTCATCAACTCTTGAACGCAAACTGCTCGCCGGGATTCAGCGGCAGACTGAGGTGCGAGTTTGTCAGTTTATTTGGGATAGGTTATACAACAGTAATTTATCGTGCTCCAGTTCACCTCTGAGCTGTTTCATTGAAGCGCGAACTCCCAGTAGAACAACATACACCCGACGATTCGCACCTGACAACCACATGATGTAAGTTGTCATAACCAGGTGTACAAAGATACAGTACATCCCCAGAGTCACATGTGTAGCTCCTGTAACATCGTCGAAATCAATAACTGCGACGAATAAATAAGACTATAGACGTAATGCGCTACCCGCAAGGTTGCTGGAAATTCTTCGACAGCCCACGACCAGTTTCGCCTTTCTTGGGTGGGGTCTCCTAGTTTCCGTCAACCTCATGTTCTACTTGAACCCAAATAGCACGAGATTAGCGGAATACACTGAATTACAAAGCAATTTGGTTTTGCGGGAGACTCACCTGGAGGCCATTCGAATCTCTCGTCTATGGTGTTTTGTAGGTAACTGAATGTATATAATAAAAAGAGTAAAGCGTTGGTTATCCTGAAAGAACGCGCCACTCATAAGTTTGTTAAAACATCTACAGCCTACGACCTACTTCGTCCTTCTTGGAGCTCATCAGGTAGACTAATTTATGGAGAAGTTGCACGGTATCACATATACGGTTCACGTTCATCATGCTTCTTTTATATCCCGGAAAAGTTTAAGCTGGCCATCTCCTGGCACATGTTTTTTAAATGGGTTGACCATCATAAAAATCGATTTTGCGTTTCAAAGTTGGGTTCATCTTGACAGCCTTGTATGAGGGATCGTACGGCAAAGAAGTGTACAGTTGTCACGCTTTTTTTTCTAATCGGGACCTCTGGCACCGGATCTGCGCGTCCTCTGTGGGAATTATTGATCTTTGGTTGATGCCTCCAGTCTGCTTAGACATCTAGAGAAATCTGATATGACTGCAATACAGCAGCAGTTGTGGGACAATTAGTCTCATTTGGCATAACACTCACAGGAAGTGACCAAAAAGTTGCCACTGGCCCTGTGCAGGGTATCTCCCCCCAGAGGACTCAACTAACGAAGCAGGCCGATCCTAATAGGTCTTTCCCACAACTGGTGGGATTCACTGTTCCAAAAAGTCTTTGAAACATTCTATTTCCTCAAGAGGTTCATACTCACCAAAAATTTCAAGACAAGCCTATTCAGCAGTACAAAGAATGTAATAGTCATACTAAGAACAACCGGAGTTTTTCAGCACAATTCACAGTGGGATAAGGTAGCGTGAGAACTTAAAATCTGGTCATTTGAAGTGGTTTAGAATGGAGTTTAGGACAGTCATTCTATTCTTTTATTGCTGGTCCAAAAATGTGGCAAAAAACAAATTCTGCTCAGTGGAACTATCTATTAGCCACGCGACCGTTGTTGACTGGAAGAACTTTCTTCACGATCAGTCATCCTCTCTGATAGATGGGCATCATACTAAGGAATCGGAACGATGATTGACATGAAGTATACTCATGAAACGGTCAATGATACCGAAAAGTTTGTGGATCCAATGACTGGAGCTCACACACAAACCATCGAATCTCTTTGGCATGTCTACAAGATGCAGCATAAACGCCAATGCGACACACACCGATCTTTAGTGGACAGCTAATTGTGTGAGTTCGATTGGAAGCAAAGGTACCGAAAAACGGACCTTTTCATGCAAATTTCACCCTCTTCAATAATAACTATAAGTATAATTTTCATATCCTCTTTATTCTAATCTTTTTCGGGTTGGCGGGGGTTAATTTTTTTGGGTGAAATTAGACAATGTGTTTACCAAACTAATTTAGTTTTAATGGGAGACTCAAGTAAATCCTAGCTAAATCTCTTAGTTGTGATAGTCTCAACTGGATACACTGTACAAAGGTGATCTTATCTTTCCTTTTTTCGAAATATAGCAGTACAGTGTCTCGACGGATCAAATCATTAGTCCTTGGAGGAATGTACGTCACTGGCAAGTTGAGTCGGTACAGGCCTACACTGCTCTAGCCCGACGTTAACAGTGTGGACGTCACGTGCATTGCTTTTTGGTACGATAACCCATTGTCCCGATTTCTTTGCCATCGTACAGTTTAACTGAACACTGACGCTCGAATCAGCTGATTTAGATGAGTTCCCGAGGGTGGCGATGGAACATCGCAAAACATCTACCGCCCTCACACTCGACTCGCATGCTAGGACTGCTCTCACGAGGATGCCCCGCCCACGTCCCCTACCGGTGATATTAAAAGCGAAATGCGGCTAGGTCCTAGTGAACGCAGTAAGGACATTTTCATCTCATACGGTGAACACTTGGGCAAAGAACTTTTGCAGGCTGTCACTGTAGCTGGCCGAAAAACGGACTCGCCAGTCGGTTGCCAGATTCACCGTACGTCCCTCGCTCAGGGGCACCAACAAACTACGGCACACTGTCTAGGCTTCGAGACCTAGAAAGGGCAGCGTGGGGCTTCAGACACACAGGCTCAGTATCCCCAATTTTAGCAGTTTTGGTTCTTTATTTCGGTTAGTCAGAACAGCCTTTCTTGTGTTGTTTTGAATTCATCACATGGGAGTAAATAGAGCTAAGGAGAACATGATTTGGCTCAATCTGTGGTGATCTTCCAGCTTTCTTGCCCCACGGACTTGAACACAACAACTGAGACCAGACGGTTGGACCATTTAAATTGTCGAATATGAGTGCTTGCTCGTTCGGAAACTCCGCTGGGTTAAGTAACTTCAACGAAACGTGGCCAAGGGGCTTGAGACTGGACTCCAGCACACCGCGTACGCCAAAAATCACACAAATAACAGTGTTGTCAAGTCGTCCCAGAAATTGCTGTGTGCTCCGGGGGCGGGATGGCCCGAAAGGTCCGTGGTTCGAACACGACCTCTGCCTCTCGACTTTCCCTGTCTAGTCTTGGGCAACCTGGGAGTATCCCAGCATTCGTGCAACCTTCAGGTGGCAT